GTGTGGGTTTTATTATTGGATTCTTTTAGATGAGGCTTATCATGAATTCGCAAAGTTACCGACTTCAGCCCACCTCGTTAGAGAGTTGCCGAATCTAGTGGTTACCAGAACATTTTCGAAGTGTTTTGGGTTAGCAGCGTTACGTATTGGATTTCTGATGGCGCATGAGGATACTATTAAAGGTGAAGGGAAAGGGTTGTCGATTAGCAGTGTAGTTTCACCCGCGATATGAAAAGCACTTGTGAAAAACATATTTCAGGAATAATGTGTAGCGCGAATATCGCGTTTTTCACGGAGTTTTACGCTACTTCACGTAAAACGGGTGAAATTCCAGTGTAGTTTTTTTTACAGTGTTTTGCATTTTTTCGAATTTTTTCAAGGATTTTCAGAGTTTTTCACAGTTTTTTATTCAGTTTTCTATAATTTTCTACAGTTTTTTTTGCCTTTTTCGGATTTTTTTCAGGAGTTTTCACAGTTTTTTATTCAGTTTTCGAGAAATTTCTACAGTTTTGTTGCATTTTTTCGGAATTTTTTTTCAGGGGTTTTCACAGTTTTTTATTCAGTTTTCTATAATTTTCTACAGTTTTTTTGCATTTTTTCGGAATTTTTTTCAGGAGTTTTCAGAGTTTTTTACATTTTTTTTCAAAGTTAGGTTTATTGCGCGGATTTCACTACGAAGTGCCTCAGAGGAGCTGTCAGTTGCTCCGCGTTTTAACGTGTTAACTTCATCGACAGTTTTTTTTCCGTGGTGGGAAATATCAGCGCTGGAGTACACGTTCGTTTTCCTCAGCAGCTGAGCTTAGGAGTTTCCTCACTAATTGTAGAAATTCGGGTAGAAGATATACAAAGATGAATAACTATTTTAATACTGTCACCAACACATGTAGTTGACCATGTGCATATTTCTCCACACTGGTTTAAAACGGAAAAACACACTCACTGTGGGAAAATATAATATACTCGTGAGAAAATTTTTGAGAAATTTTTCCGACACTCGAAAATTCGTCAGAATTTTAATACTGTCACCAACACATGTAGTTTACCATACGAGTGCTATTTCCCTTTTTTTCAGAAATGAAGAAATTGTATAACACCAAGTCGGTGAATATGCTGGCGCAACTGGCTGCTTGTGAGGCTCTCAAGAATCGTCCTTTTTACATGCGCTATGCGGCTGAGGTTTGCAATGCTCGCGATTGGCTGGTGAAAGATCTCAAATCGGCTGGATTGGAAGCGAGGGCTGGCGGGGGCAACTTTTTGTGTGTGAAGATGCCTCCAGGAGTGTCACCAGTTGAGGTGGTAGAGCGCATGACCAAGAGGGATATTTTTCTGAGGTCGTGGGTTCGAATCTTGGCGAGTGCATTTTTAAAGTTGTTTTTTTTTCTCAGAGATATCCACGGTAGATTTCCGGGATTTATTCGCATTACTGCTGGGACTATGGAACAGATGAGGAGGGTTGCCGCTGAGCTTAAGGCTGAGCTTGGCTTGTGAGGGATGGGTTTTGGAGAATAATGTTGATTTTATTAATCGCCGTTTAAATGGGATTTCTTGAAGTGGTTGTTTTGAGGTTGTGTTTGGATGGTCCTGTCAGTGTTGGAGTAGGAATATATGTAATCACTTTCCCCAGCACCTGAGCTCAGGAGTTTCCTATACAGTGTTGCAGTAGGAATATATGTAATCGCTTCCCTCAGCACCTGAGCTCAGGAGTTTCCTATACAGTGTTGGAGTAGGAATATATGTAATCGCTTTCCTCAGCACCTGAGCTCGGGAGTTTCCTATACAGTGTTGGAGTAGGAATATATGTAATCGCTTTCCTCAGCACCTGAGCTCAGGAGTTTCCTATACAGTGTAGGAGTAGGAATATATGTAATCGCTTTCCTCAGCACCTGAGCTCAGGAGTTTCCTATACAGTGTTGGAGTAGGAATATATGTAATCGCTTTCCTCAGCACCTGAGCTCAGGAGTTTCCTATACAGTGTTGGAGTAGGAATATATGTAATCGCTTTCCTCAGCACCTGAGCTCGGGAGTTTCCTATACAGTGTTGGAGTAGGAATATATGTAATCGCTTTCCTCAGCACCTGAGCTCAGGAGTTTCCTATACAGTGTTGGAGTAGGAATATATGTAATCGCTTTCCTCAGCACCTGAGCTCAGGAGTTTCCTATACAGTGTTGGAGTAGGAATATATGTAATCGCTTTCCTCAGCACCTGAGCTCAGGAGTTTCCTATACAGTGTTGGAGTAGGAATATATGTAATCGCTTTCCTCAGCACCTGAGCTCAGGAGTTTCCTATACAGTGTTGCAGTAGGAATATATGTAATCGCTTTCCTCAGCACCTGAGCTCAGGAGTTTCCTATACAGTGTTGTTGGAGTAGGAATATATGTAATCGCTTTCCTCAGCACCTGAGCTCAGGAGTTTCCTATACAGTGTTGTTGGAGTAGGAATATATGTAATCGCTTTCCTCAGCACCTGAGCTCAGGAGTTTCCTATACAGTGTTGTTGGAGTAGGAATATATGTAATCGCTTTCCTCAGCACCTGAGCTCAGGAGTTTCCTATACAGTGTTGGAGTAGGAATATATGTAATCGCTTTCCTCAGCACCTGAGCTCAGGAGTTTCCTATACAGTGTTGGAAAAGGAATATATGTAATCGCTTTCCTCAGCACCTGAGCTCAGGAGTTTCCTATACAGTGTTGGAGTAGGAATATATGTAATCGCTTTCCTCAGCACCTGAGCTCAGGAGTTTCCTATACAGTGTTGGAGTAGGAATATATGTAATCGCTTTCCTCAGCACCTGAGCTCAGGAGTTTCCTATACAGTGTTGGAGTAGGAATATATGTAATCGCTTTCCTCAGCACCTGAGCTCAGGAGTTTCCTATACAGTGTTGGAGTAGGAATATATGTAATCGCTTTCCTCAGCACCTGAGCTCAGGAGTTTCCTATACAGTGTTGGAGTAGGAATATATGTAATCGCTTTCCTCAGCACCTGAGCTCAGGAGTTTCCTATACAGTGTTGGAGTAGGAATATATGTAATCGCTTTCCTCAGCACCTGAGCTCAGGAGTTTCCTATACAGTGTTGGAGTAGGAATATATGTAATCGCTTTCCTCAGCACCTGAGCTCAGGAGTTTCCTATACAGTGTTGGAGTAGGAATATATGTAATCGCTTTCCTCAGCACCTGAGCTCAGGAGTTTCCTCAGAAATTCGGGTGGAAATGTACAGAGACCAACAAAAATTTCCCGAAAATTGTCACCAACATGTCCATCTACTCTCCCTCTAGTCGCGACTTAGCGTTTTTATCATTATCATGATGATAATCGTCTTATTGACGCTCTACTGTGGCTGTTATCTTCCAACAAACGCACATAGGGTGTCGGTGTCGTTGCAGTCGCCGTGGGTGGCGGTTAGCACGGCCTCGCAAGAAGTGGAGTTTTTATCGCATCTTAGCGGTGGACAAGCCAGGGAGTTTCTATTGGGTGAAAAACCAGCGGAGTCGTTTTTGAAATCTCGAGGAGTGAAATCGCTGATGCATTTTATGGTGAAAAATAAATATTTTTCGCCGATGGTGGAATTTCATCGATCACTTGCGCGAGATTTGGTACGAAACTGCGAGCGCGGTATGTCGGTTTTGGTTGAAGTAACGGGGGATGGGCTGAGGAAAGGGTGTGCTCTACCGGAGGGAGTTTGCATTGTGAGGAAAAAGGACAATTTTACGGCGGACGAATTCGGCGTGGAGGTCCAGGCTGGAAACGGCCGCGGTGAGTTTTGGGGAAATTGCGGTTTCATTCGTTTTACGTGAAGTGGCGTCGGAATACTTTGTAAAAAACGCGATATTATTCGCGGTGATATGCAGTAGTCGTGAAATGTGAAAGTGAAACATATCACTAGGGTGGTGAAACTCCATACGAGTGTTTGCCCCCCGCGTAGATTCAGTCGGGGAGAACATGTATTATGTTGGTGATAATTAAAAAATTTGGAGAGATTGTTGATGGTTTTTGGTACACTTCTACCCGAATTTCTATAGTTAGTGGGAAAATTCCCGAGCTCAGCTGCTGAGGAAAGCGATCATATATTTTACTCTGGGAAAATATGCATATCGTCAACTACATGGAAAATTTCTGAGGAAATTTTGGGGAATTTTCGATGGTTTCTGTATACCCCTACAGAAATTTCTATAATTAGCTTTGGAAATTCCTGAGCTCAGCTGCTGAGGAAAGCGAGGGTCATCGTATTTTCTCTCTCTCAGATGCAACGACGACTGTTGTGGTCTACGGCGAAGCGAAGAGCTCTGCTACGCAGTTGGTGTTGAAGGCTTTCATCGGTGGATGCTGCATCGGCTGTCGTGTTGTTTTCCGTCACGATGATTCTGGAAAGATTGAACACCAGGAACTGGTTTCGGGCTATGGTGTTAGCCTGAGTATCAAAAATTCGGAGTATAAAGCCTCGGCTGAGGACAGGAAAGCAGATGGTGACGAAGGTGGTGACACGCCGCAGCAGGAGGTAGGAGTGTGTTGGGAAAAGTTACACGAACGATTTCCCGGGGTTGATTTTACCCGGGCTAAAACGAACCTAAAATTGGAGAAAATTTTGAGTCCGGCTGACCGCAAGCTGAAAGCGTGGGAGTTGAAGTCTATCGGAGCTCAACTACTAAAGGCGGCCGAGAGGAATCTCAGCAAGGCGGTTGCAATTGTTGAAGATTTCCCAGCTAGAGTTGTAGAACTGAGCCATATTCTTGTTGAGAAAAACGAAGAAGAGGAGATGCGGAGGGTGTTGGAGGGCCAGGGGCAAACGAGATCGATGTTCGTGTTAAATGGTGATGATATCATTGACGAAATGCTGATGTCGTTGCACCCGATATTGGAAAAACTACTACCTATCTATCTAGCTGTTGAGGAACTCGTCACACTCGGAATGGACGAGGCCGAGGCGGCTCGTCTGGTTCGCAATACCACACGTTTGCCAGAAACTAGGCGCCTTGAATGGCGAGCCTCAGTTGATGGGGTTGGGCCTACATATGTGTACAACGTGCGTAAGGACCCTCAGACAAGCAGATGGTCGGACGATTTGAATCTGTTGGTGCAGATGATGATGACGGGGCAACGCGGCATCGCTCCGCTAAGGCGCGTTGTTTTTGATATCATTTTTGTGATCGACCTCTCGGATAAGCAACAAGTTTTGGAGACGATTGGGAAATTGTTGATGTCGCCGTTCCCGGCTAGGGTGGCGTTGGTGCC